ATCTGTATGTGAATATTTGGTCAATTACAGTCACCAAAAATGTTGATTTTTATGTAGGTAAAATTTAAAGTTATAATTCAAATTATTTAATAGTTAATTAAATATATTCATATTTTTAATTTTTGATTTGAGATATTATTTTCTTTCTCTTTTTGTGTTTTTTGTTTGTTTGGTTTGGTTCGGTTTTTCAAGACAGGGTCTGTCTGTGTAGCCCTGGCTGTCCTGGAACTAGCTCTGTAGATCCAGCTGGTCTCGAACTCATAGAGATCTGCCTGCCTTTGCCTGCCTTTGCCTCCGGAGTGCTGGGATTAAAGGCGTGCGCCACCATCACTGGGCTTTGATTTGAGATTTTTAACGATCACCCTATTTTTAGTTCAAAAAATTCTACTAAAACTGTAATTGGAATCTTCACGTTCGTAGTTATTTCTTCTTTCTTTTTAGTCCGTTTCACCAGAAACATTCCTATCCTCTTACCGGTTTGCGCAGTAGTATTTTGTCATGTCCACTTTTCCGACCATCCCTTTGTAGTTACGTCCATTTTTAGCTCTAAAATTGTATGCACAACACATGCACCTGTATTCTCCCTCTCTTTGCCTTCCCTTGCCGGTGAATCTCTGCTCTTCCTGCTAGGTAGGGAGAAGGAACTACCAGCCCTGGTCTGCCCGCCGCCATCATTACCTGAGTTATTCACGTAGAGATGTGTGATAAGACACAGGCATATGTCCGTCGTCACTCAGCTCCGGGCTCTGGTTTCTCACTGCCCCAGTGACACCAGGAAGCTGCACAGGCAGCTCCAGCTCCTAGAGCCTATGCCTGGACTGTCCCTTAGGCCATTGTTTTCCTAAAGAGGGTTACTTTTTCCTTCTTTCTTCTTTTTAAAAGTAAGTTGGATTTCACCACCCACCTTTGCCTCTGGCCTTTTAAAATAGAAAAACGTCCTTAGGGATAAACCCCATCCCCAGGGAAAAACACTAGAGAGAGGCCGAATACTGGGAGAAGGAAGAGTCCCTTTGTCAAGCAGGCTGAAACCTCAAAGAATGCCATTTCCCCAGATATATTCTTGGATCAATTTCTCCATTAAAGAAGGGAGGGAAAGTTCCAGCAGATCTTTGAGCTGATAGTTTTGGTTGCTCACTGGTAGTTTTTTTTGTTTGTTTGTTTTTTCCTGCAGAGGGAAGGGAACTCAGCGAGGAGAGTGAAGGAGGGAGAAGAGCCAGCAAACCCTTCTGAACAAATGACAGCATCAAAGAAACGACAGTCGGCTTTTCCAACCCCAGTCAACGCTCCTCTGTTTACAAGTTTTGGACCACTAGGTAATCTGTGTACTTGAAGATGTTTTGTGTGTACGTGTTTGTGCATGGTGTGTGCATGGTTTGTCAGGCACCCGTACATGTGGAGGCCACGTGACATCAGGTGCCCTGCTCTGTCGCTGCCCTCAAATCCGGTCTTTCATTGAATCTGCAAGTCCCGGCAATCCTCCTGTGTTGCTTTGGGTATTTTGCCTCATGCTTGACAGCAGGAGCAGCTTGGCTTTTTTTTTTTTTTTTTCCTCTGCTGAAGTCAGCTGAAGAAGCACATTCAGAGACATGGTGCTTGGCAAAGCATAGGGGAGAACATGAGAGTGACCACCTAAAGGAAGTGGGGGGCTAAGTCTGAGTGACAGGAGGACTCCAGACAGACATTAAATAAAATGTGTCTAGGCACCCTCTTCTAATCACATCCAGACAACATCCAGACAACGTCGTAGATGTTAGGATTATAAGGAACTCATTCAAATACGTTGTCCTGGATAAAGACAACTTAGAGCATGGCTTACGCCTGTGACATCAGCACGAGGGAGGCTGAAGGATTGCTGAAAGTTTGAGACCAGCCAGCCTTGGTTACAATAGTGCTTTCCAGGCCAGCCTGGGCTACATTGTGAGACCATACATCTAAACAACATGCAAAACCCAAACCAGACAACGTGGAATTCTGTGAAACGCAGTGCACAGTTGCCATCCTGTGTTACAGACTTGGCCCTCTTTGGAACTGATTTGGTCTAGGTTTGGCACTACTGTTGTGTTGTATCTCACTGTCTCTCTTTTGTGCCGGACACCTAACCTACTTCTGGCTGTTGACCTAAAGCTGGCTGCAGAGCAGTCTCATCCAGACAGGCCTTTGCTTGTCAGCAAGACAGGTCTGTCCAGGCAGACCTCTTGCTTGTTTCATTTTTGGCTGTGGTAGATGGAATAAGGAAGAGATAAAGCAAGTAACTCAGTGTGTGTGTTTATGTGTGTATGTGCGTGCATGTGTATATGTGTGTATAGGTATGCGTGTAAACGCATATGTGTATATGTGCATGCGTGTGTGTGTGTGTGTGTGTGTGTGTGTGTGTGTGTGTGTGTGTGTGTGTGTAGTGGTGGTGGAGATCAAAACCAGCACATGCTAGGCTAGCAATCTATTCCTGAGGTACATGTTTTCACCCCTAACATACATGTGTTTAATGAGGACAGACATCCCCATTTGAGGTTGGGAAGGACCACAGAGTAGTAAAAGTAGTCAATACACAGTTGGGACAGCAACTACATTCCTCAAGAAGGCAAGAGATGAAACCAACACACTGAAATTAATCAACAGGAGTGTCAGCTCAGAGAGGCCTATTTATCTTGTGCCTTTAACCAGTGAGGAATGGCCAACCACCATAATCCCTTTAAAATATTCTTTTCATTAAATATAGAAGTATTGGTGTTGAAGAAACAAAACAGGTGAAGTAGGAAGAGAGAGAAATTAAGCAATACATAGAATTATTCTGAATTTAGTAGTGCTATAGTTAAGGGCAATCCCCTCTCAGTGTATTAGTTTCTTTAATATATATGCATAAGACTTGATGGTTTCGTGTTCATCCCAACTCCCTCATAGTTTAAGATCAGCCATCGGTATTTGTGATAGGAAGGGGCTTATATTTGCAGGCTTATTTATTATGTATTTTTGTGGTGCTGGAGCTCAAGCTCAGGGCCTTGTACTTGCTAGGCCAGCACTGTACCTCCGACTACCGCCTGCTACCCTACCGGATGCGTTTCTGCTTGTTGTCAAGAACAGAGTTAGTGCTGGGTATGACTATATTAGCAGTAATTGGGAGTACTTTTTCTATTGTAAGTAGATAATTATAAAATAAGTTTCCGATTGGTAGAAAAGGAGTTTGGAAAGCAAAGTCTTTTAAAAAGAGATTTGAACAGTTTTCTCCTTTGGTTTATTAGAGAGGGGGTCTTGCTGTATAGCCCTGGCTGGCCATGTAGTACAGGCTGGCCTGAAACACTTCATCCGGTTCCAAGCTCTCCTGGGCTGAGATTACAAGTGGGCGGCACCATGCCTGTGCAGCTTGAACAATAATTTTTAAAAGTAAACAGCTTTGCATAATAAATGACCAGCTTTAGAGTTCAGCCTTGAGCACTGTGAAAAACCACAGACAGGAAATGGTCGTGGTCCCTTCAAGTCACAACCTGCTGAAGGCTTGAAAACTTTCCACGGCCCCCCCCCCCCCCCCCCCCCCCCCCCCCCCGTGTCTTATCGGCTCTGCCCATCGCTGTTGGCAGTGACCTCTTTCTACAAAGCAAGGGGGTGGAGATCCGTTTCCTCATCGTCTTTCATTCCCTGTCAGCTACAGTCCTGTCAGCTAGTCCCACTTTACTGTGGTCTGACAACCCTAGATGTCCCTCTGACTAGAGATGGTCAGGCCTTTACTCCCAGGCGTCTACTTTTGATGCGTGGAGGACTCAGCTACGGCTAGAAGCAGAGAATTCTGAAGACTCTGGCAACCCTGAGGGTCTGGAGGTGGGTGTGATGGCAAGGCTGGGAAGTCTTCTCTCTGCTGCTGTGTCTACTGAGTGATGGTAAGGCTTCTGGGCTGGTACTCTCCAGAAAATGATTCTTAGGCCCTGCGCCCGCCCACACCCACAGGTGTGCTTTCCCCGCCCTTAATTACTCCGTGAAAACCACAGTTTGCCCTTACAAAGTTACACTGGGAGAGCGGAAGAGAAATTTATAATCAGAGCCAGGGGCGCGAAGCCACAGTCGCTTTGATTTGCAGTTGTAAAGGCGGAGAGACTCACATACCTTTTTTTTCTTTTCTTTTCTTTTTAAGCGGCAAAGCCAACCCTTTCTTTACGGCCTGTATGTAGTCCAGGGCCACGTTGGTTGAAACTTTGCACTGTCTGAAAAGTTTAGAAAGTCAACTAGGAGGTGGCCATGCAAGAAGTCCTTTTTTTTTTTTTTTTTTTTTTTTTTTTGCCTTTTTTCTTTCTTTTTTGACTCTGCGATGTTTTCCAGGGCTTTTCAGATGAGGAGGGAAAAGCAACAAGACAAAAATGCACTGTGCAGGGAGTCAACCAAAGCTCTGCAGGCGGCCAGGCGCTGGGGTGAGCGCGGGAGGGGGCAGAGGTGACCCGGGTGGGTGTGTCCGATGTGGAGGGTTGGGGGAGAGCGCCAGGAAGGTACTGAATGGGAGGCTTAGGCTCCCCTCACCCGCCAACGCCCCCCCAGCGGCTCGGGAAGTTCTGTGAATGACTGGGGGAGGGGAACCACAGGAGTCAGGGGCGCTGGGGGTGCCACGCAGGTAAGGGCAGCTGCTGAGGAAAGGCGCCTGGGGGGTGCGGGGAGTTGCTGATTTGTGCAACGTGGACGGGGCGAAAAGCGCCAGAAGGTGGAGGGAGAGGAAAGAAAGCTGGCACCCGCGCTTCTTTCCCGGCCGCCCGCTTGCTCGCAGAGCCGGGGAAGTCGGGCCTGGGCGGCAGTGACGCCCCAGGAGTCTTGTTCCCGAGCGCAGCGCTACCCTCGTAACCTCCCGGCCGTGCCCGGGTGAGGCTTGGGCTGGGCTGGCCCCGGGGCTGCGGGGACTGCGGAGCTGGAGCTAGCAGGTAAAGGCGCTGGCGGCCGGGTATCCCCGGGCGCGGGTGGCGACGGCCCCGCCTCCCATCGGCGCGATCGGCTCGCTCTGTCCCACCACCCGCGGCTTTGCAGCCGTGCGCGTGAGCGCCTGGGAGTGCGCGCGCCCGCGGGCCCGGAGTGGGTGGGTGTGCGCGCGTGTGTGAGGCCGCCTGCAGGAGGCGAGGCTGCCCTGGCCTCCCGCACCAGCCGGTGGAACCCAGCCCGGGAGGGAAGTCGCTGCAGCCGTCCGGCGGCCCTCCTGCCCTTTGGCCAGGTCAGTGCGCCCCAGGGTCCGTCCGAGGGACACGTCGTCGGTGGCCTCCGGTTGGTTACCTGGGTCGGGTTGGGGGCGCGAGAGGGCTGGCGTGGGGCGCTCCAAGTTCCTCGGTGCGGCATCCCCGAGGACTTAGATGGCCCGGGTGTCCCAGCGCCCCGCGCTCAGCTCCCTGCTCACTGGTGACTTTGTCGTCCCTTGAGTCTAAGGAATTTAAACTTTCCGTGAAGCCGCCCGAGGCTTAGCTAGTACCTGGGAAATGCAAGGCAGGGGAGGGACCTGGCTTTGCCTGAATAGGTCGATCCGTTGTGTTGGCTCCGGTAGGGAGAGTTTACCGTGGATGGCTTTAAACTTTAGGCTTTTTTTTCCCCCTTTGCTGCCATTTGGCCTTTGATGTGAGGCATCCAGGGTTTGTTGCTGCTTCCAGGCTGGGGCCCTGGACTGCCTTTTCTCCGTTCTCTTCCCGTCTTCCCCTCCCTTTTTCTTTCTTTCTCCTTTTCGCTCGACTTTTTTCTCCTTTTTCTCTTTAGTTGAAACCTACAGATTTCTTCCATGTGGGTTTCCAGCGAGTGCTGGCTTGTGAAAGTTTCACTCTTAAGCTATCTATACCCATCGTCATAGATACCTACTGCGGACCTCAACTAGAAGGAGGTGTTAAAGCAGAATCCTCTAGGCTTCCCGGCAGGGCTGTGCGTTTGTCCTTTTGTGTAAGTGTCCTTTGCTTACTTAACGTGGCTGTGAAGTCACAGGTCTGAGTTTCAAAGTCTTGGAAAACGGAAGAACATATTCTTTTGTCAGACAGAGTGAATACCAAGGAAGAGGAGTCAATTAGGCTTAAGGCCATGTGCACCACAGTGAACTACATGGACACACAGCTGTAATAGCCCCGAGTTTCTGCCCTTGGTTCTCCAGATGCAATATTATGAATAATAATCACCAGGGCTCTAAGTATATGAAAGCTGTATTTTTTTTTTTTTTTACTTTTATTTCCCCTTCCTTTGGTCTTGAGTGTTAATTTCAGGGGAAAAAATTGCAGGAAGAGAGGGAAGCCTCTTGAGGCAGAAAGGCTAAGAAGTGCAGCTGCAGAACTGGGCCTCGGCATCGAAGCCCCCTTGTACACAGCGTCCCCTAGCGGTGCAACCCGAGCCTGTTCTGAGCTCCTGGTCTTGGTGCCCTCTCAGGAAAATGAATGGGTGGGATGATCTTTGCTGTTCTCTCTTTCCAATAACCGGGAGCTGGTGGTGAGTGACTTCTCCAGGATAGAAGAGTTGAGGAAGGGAAATGGGAAAGATTTAGTCAAGTGGGGAAATGCGAGGACAACAGAAAGAAAACGAGGGGAAAAACGAATAAAGAAAGAAACCCATCAGAAGGGAATGCTTGATTGAGGTAAGGAACTTAAGCGGGGAGCTAGCTGGCTTTCTCTGGCTTTTCCTTTCTTCGCCCACGCGGGAACCAGCCACACTTTCTCCTTATTATTACAACCCTGTCTGCTTAAAAGTGACATCAGGTCTAAGCGATCACCTGCCCATCTTGATCTTTGCATCCTCCAGAGTTCAGAATCCCTGTGAGTGATGGGTAAGAAGTCACAGAAGGGAGAATTTAAGTGGCAGCACTTTAGAAACTCCTGTTTTCATTCAAAGCTAGTATTTTCCAGAATGCAATTTGATTTTGTTTTTCAGATTGTATCATAGATGACAGGTTTTTACAGAATCTGTTCTGTTTGACCTAGTGGGATATTCAAGGGAAGAGTAAATCCTAGCTGCTGAGTCAACGTTGAGTGTACAATAACAGCCTGAAACTTGTGATTTTTAGGAAAAAGGATCATTTCACATGCTTGGTATGAAAATTTGTACTCTGAACAGAATGCACCATGCTGACTTCATAATGTCTTTAGGAGTTTAGTTTAAAGTCAACTTTTTAATGTCTGTGATTAATGTGTGGCCACCTACCCTCAGCGTCTCCCCTTCCTTCCCTCCCTCCCTCTCCTCCTTTCTCCTCCTATCCCACCCTCTCCCCTCCTTCCTTCCCTCTTCCCTTCCTCTCTCCTTTCCTTGATATCGTCATGTCTACACATGTGGGGAACGCAATTTACTTTGAAGGTGGATGTGATGTCCTGAACACTGACCCACAAGCCAGCTCTGGCTCTGCCAACTAAGTCAGCATCTTACTTCTGTCTGGCTTCTTACCTTTTGCAAGGCAGGATAATTCCAAGTCTTGATCATGTTAGCATTTAAGTATCTGTTATGGGTGTGTTAGACTGTTGAGAGAGAAGGAGACGAATTTAATTAAACAAGCAACCATCGGATTCTTGTTGTAACAGATACGAAGAAGATGAAAAGGAAGTTCTAGAAAGAGCTGCAGTACAGAAGGTGTGGATACAGATAACTGTGCTGGAGATAGTGAAGAGGGTATGTGTGCCATATTGCTTCACTGTGTGGTAACGGAGACGTCTTAAGCACCTTGACGGGCTGGGGAGCAGAACCTGAAAGTCTAACTGTTGTAGGGAGACAAACAGCTTGAAGAATGGCCCTTGCCTTGAAAGCTCAATGGGGAGAGTGAGACCTCTCAGAGGTGGTGTGGTCTGGGTCCTTGGTGATGAAGGTGGCCTGGATGTTACCTTAGGGAGCTGTGCCATGGCATTATTTAATCCTAAGATGCATGAAGACCCCGAGTCATACTGCTTAGTGGCAGAGTGGAGGTGAAGTGTTTGAGAGATGATTGAATGCGTTCCCTTGTATGCTTGTGGCTAGTAAGTTGTGTGGCACCACTGCCAGTTTATTTAATGTTATTATATAAAGCTTCTAGAACATTCTGCATGTCATTTCTTCCCTCTTATCCCCTCCCAATGATAGCTTCCTTTTGGGAAACTTAATTTGTTCCAAATGGATGAGGCTCTTGGGTTGCACAGGGCCCCGTGGGGCCTTTTGAGCATGTGTGCTTAAGTCCCTTTGCAGACAGAAAGCTGAGCATCCACGCTTTCCTTTTTCTGTTTGGGGAATAGCTTGCTGGTTAACGCTAATTTAAACACGACTCTTCTCCACACTGGCATTCTTGAATCTGTTTGTATTACACATAGTATCTTAACCACAGTGTGGAATATGTGTAGTACAGATGAGAGGGGATTATCATTAGTGCAGAAACAGGGCTAATGCCTCTTTTAAAGGACTGGGAATAGAGCCCTAAGAGTCCTTCATGGAGTTTAATTTCCAAAACTCCTATAGAAGTGCCTTGCTCAGTCTTGTAGAGTAATATGCGTGGATTTTGTTTTTTCATCTCTGAAGGAGTTAGCTAGTGATATCTCAGGGGACTCTTCGTGGAATTCCTTTAGGAGAATGCAGGACCCCTCTCTGCCCTCCGCCTTTGTGCTACTCGTGAGAATGGGTGAGTTTTCAGCTGCATGTCAAGCTGATTTGGGTGAAGACTTTGAATTACCCTTGAGTCTAGAATGGTAGGCGGCTAAGGAGGCAGATCATTAAAAGAGATTAGGTTAGCATTTTGTTGTCTTCTGGATACAATTTGAATGCATGGTCCTCTCAGTAGCTTTTAATTAATTTGTTTATTTACTAATCTTTTTAAATCTTCAGCAAGGCGTGGGGTGGGGACTTAGGTTTGTCATGATTAAAAAAAATCAACTAGTTAATTTTAATAGGTCGAAGGCTGACATATTTTATTTTAGGGTTCTCAAAGGGTCACTTTTTTTTAGTGAGTGGGGGATTGTATTGAAATTTCTTGGCTCTTTGTTTTAGTAAGTCCGTGTGATTTCATTGCAGCCTTTATTCTTACACTACCTGCTTGCTGGCACAGGGCCAAGGGAATTGTGCTAATACCTGGACATTCTCACCCATCACCCACCACCCACCACCCACCACCCACCACCCACCACCCACCACCCACCACCCACCATCTTCCACTACCATGGAGACTTTAACCCTGAAGTTCACATAAAAGTCAGGGCTTTTTTCTCCCCTTCTGAAAATGAAAGGGAACTATTTTAACGCACCCATGGATTTAGGTTATAATTTATTTTCTTTTTGTGGTACTGTTTTAAAAAAGTGATCTAATGACAGGGCAGACTCTTCACTTTAGTCCAGTGCTAAAGCAAACATGTCCGAGCCTGAGTGGGGTAGGTCGGGGTGTGCGTGTGGTAGCCTAGAAATAAAAGAAAATGCTTTCAAAGCCAGTGTCTTCCTCTAGAAGAGAAAAAGAAAGCTTGAATCTCTGAATCCAAAGGTTGAAACTGTCACTTAAAGGGCATTTTGTCTGGTGTGGTCATTCTATGGGCTGGTGCTTCTAGAGATGCAAGTTTCCCCGGGGGTGGGGGCTGGGGTTATGGGGAACTATTTATTCTCTTTATAGTTTGCCGCCTGCCTTTTCATTTACTCCGGCCACCCTCCCTTTCCATGCTTTTGTGACAGGGTCTTGTACTGTAGCTCACTCAGACTAGCCTGAGCTATGAGACCCAGCCTGGCCTCTGACTCACAACAACCATTTCTGTCTCAACAACACCCCAAGGGTTTGGAGGACCCACCACCACGCCTGAATTTCCTTTTTTTTTTTTCATTATCTAAGTTGGAAACAATGGATTGGATTAGTCTTCCTGTCAGTCCTCTATGCTCAGGTTTCTTTCCCTGGGTCCCAGTGACTCTCCCAACTCTTCGTTGAATTTCTGCCTCATTAAAGGATAGGCCTGGCTGGCTCTTTGGAGCGAGGTAGATGTGGGCCAGAGGAGGTGAGATCTGCTCGAGCCCAGAGGAGTGTAACTGACTGCTGGTGCCAACAGGCCTTGTGCTGAGCACCCGGGATGGACAGAAATGAACAACGCAGACCCCCACCCCCAGTCAAGAGTCTGGTGAGGGTTCCCAATCATGGGTTCCTGGTGCTCTGGGAACACCAAAGGCAAAGGGGCAGGGGACCCCTGACCTTCTGAGTCAAGGGTCAAGGCAGTGGAAGTGGAGATGCTGAAGCTGGGGGAGGAGCCATGGAAGATTAGAATCTGGAAG